GAATTATTGAGCATTGTACCTATGCACGCACATACCTATTGCCCTCTACTGGCCAAACGTCAGTCTACCATTATACGTAGTAAGGAAAAAAATAAACCTTGGCAACTGATGTTCAGCTCAGGAAAGTATTACTCTAAAGAAAATCATTACTCAGTTTGTAAGATTGAAACTATGGGTTCTTGATATTCCACCAGCCTAACCCTGCTTGCAATACTAAAAGGCTCAAACTTCCAACATTTTAATATTAAAAATAGCGACACAGCACAGTTGTTAGAAATTAAAACTGAACCTTGTCAAAGTTTTTAAGTGTTTAAAAAAAAAAAGCAGCTCGGACAAAAAGTTATTCTTTTGAAGTCTTCTTTTCACTTCTCAGAACAGTTTGCAGGTATTCCCACTTAAAGCAACCTGCATCTGTTTTCCAAAGTTAGCTTCCCCCCCCGCCACCTTCTAAAAGATCGATTCTCATTACAGCAGGTAAAACTAGAATTCTGGACATTTTATATTTGCTTCCAAGCAAAAGCCTTTTAATGGACACAATACCCATAACACTAAGCACTGTTTTGGCCAGCTACTACATCCACAAAAGATATCCTTTCCACACGGCCAGACAGGGAACGTCGTCAACTGTGTATCAGGTTTGATGATCCACAAGACAGTAAGTACTACTTGGTCCCGTGACTCTTTGGCCACATATGCTGCATGTAGGAGAAGAATCTCCAAACTTTCACCTAGTTAGCGATTTAACTAGCCCAGGGAAGAGACCTTCCTTTCCTACCTCCTCCTCATTACTATTTCCCACTGTTTATTATTACCAAGGAAGTACTGATGTAATTATTCCACCACATTTGACAAGTTGCCTGTTTACATAGGTTTCTTGCCTAAGCAAGCAAGCAGCTTGGGTAGCTTCAAAGAAAAATGTTTATAAAAGATTTATTTTATCAGCAGAGACAGCCAAGAACATGACGAGCAGCTTGCCACGATTTCTGCTACACTGCGGAAGAAAGCCATTCTGCTTCATACTGAACCCACTTGAAAGCTCCTCATGCCAAGGAAAATAAAGACTTAGGGAAGCTGAGCCTTTGAAAATCCAGTTCCTAGATTCATCTACACTCCCATCTTTCAGAAGGGGAGAGGGAGAGAAGTGAATTCAGGAAGCAAGAACTGCAAATTCAGCAGGCAAAGTGTTCTTCTTCTTAAAGTAGCTTTTAGAAAAGGGGGAAAAAAGTCTAGAAATATTCCTTATCCTTCCTATTTACTAAAGTAACTGGCACTAGCTGTCACACACCTGGGTTTCTTCCCAACACGGCAAATTTTTAATTTAAAAATAAAACAGAAAGACCTTGTTCTGAATGAGACAAGGTGCCATACACTGACATGAACGGAGCAGTAATTCAAGAGAAACCTCACTGACAATTGCAAGGCTTTTTTAAAATTGAAAGGTTTTTTTTTTTTTTTTTTTTTTTGATAAAATTATACAGATGCATCAGGGCATCAGAAGACTGAGTGCTTCACCCAAAGCTCAGCTAACCCACTGCCATGGAATTCCCAACATAATCAATGACCGAGTGTTAGCAGACATGCAGAAGCAAGTCAGATAAGAAAGGAGTGATCATTACCCAATATAAATTTGAGACTAGATGCTAGTGTATCTGAAAATATACATCTAGATAAAGATATTTTTTTGTTTGAAGACTTAATTATTAAGAATCCCCAAAATAGCAGACAGGCTGTATTATAAATTTAAAAAAATCACAATCTTCTTGTCTTCACTTATAGCAAGTTTTAAAATTCTCCTTAAGCAAACATGTCAAGATTTTTAGACTAATGCAGTACCTAACATGAACAATTTCCATCCAATTTTAAGTCATTTTCTGCCAAACCATACTGGAAATGTTGGGGATGAAGGCTTAATAGACTAAAAATAAGAATATTAAATAAGAGCTACATTGTAGCCACCTTTAGCATCTGATCTTTACAGTCATTGAATATACACTTTGTGTGTCATATTATTTCTGAAGCTTCTGAAGTGTTAGGACTGGTAGAAAACTTTGCTCCAAGGACATCTGAGCTTGATAAATAAGGCTAATTTATTATTAGTAATAAATTTAGTAATTTAGTAAAGCGTACATGTATTAGAATTAACAAAAAGTTCTATCATACAACAAAATGCAAGTACGGAAATTTACACTATGTTCAGTCTACTGAAGAACGGTAGCGTTCACTGCATCACTTATGTCTCCAGTCTGTAATTTTAAAAATTTTTGTCAGAATGCTGGAAGTATTAAATAATCATCTTGGAAGGCATGTTCTAGAAAATATAGCAAACTCTGGGAACTCAGAACTGTATAAATACTCTGAGTTACTGAAGCCTCTTTCAGTTATACTCATGATCTCAGAGAGATACAGAAATAAGACGACATAAGGACAGGTGAAATACTTGTTCGTCCATATAACTTTCAACCAAAGAACACTTAATAGTGATAAAAGGTAACACTTTTTAACAATACATCATTCAGAATATATGATTAAAAATAAGGGCTTCTATGAATCTCATGTATCAGAACATCGCCTCATTTTCTCACAAAAGCCTCCCTCATCAGTTCCAGATTAGTTGACTTCAGTTACACTGTTTATTTCATCACTCCTCATTACACTGTTTCATCTGGCCAGTATATTAGTGCAGGACACTACTATAGTCTATTGTTTCACAACAGGTGTACTGAGGTTTAAAATATTCCCAGGTTATCAGAAAAGAAGTCTAACCACAGTTTTTAGCTAGTCACTTTATAATTCTTATCAAGTATCAATTTTATTCATCAACTATAAGCACCAAGGTGGGACATCATTCCACATCAATACACTGAATGTAGGTTGCTACAGGTGTGGTAGGAGTTCAGACACCCATAATGGTCCACGTGGATTCAGTCAGTGCAATCAGGGGGACAGAGCGAGCAACGCAGCCTACCAGCCTCTGCTGCTCCGTATGCTGCAGGGCTCTTGAGCCTTCACTAACTAGTCCCATGGACTGTGACGAGAGTTCTGGTACCAACATTTTGGTGACCACTGGCATAGTAGGTGACTTCATCTGGACCTGAGTCCAACCTGAGTATCTACAATATATTCATTCAAAAATGTTCGTTTGCTCAGATGTGGAAGAATCTCATTTTCTTAGTGCTAAGGGAAATTACTTTTATCAAGTCAACTTCCAGCAGTATCTTGCTTGCAATTTGAATGCTCAAAGAGCAGTAATGTACCATTACTTTGCCCTGAGTAGACATCAACAGCTACTACAAATTTAATAAAAAAAGAAGTGTATATATATTGTCAGAAGTAGTCTAGTCAGAGGTGTTTTCTGCACTGGCTCCAGACTCTGCACAAGTATTATGTCGCATAATGCTTTAGGTAGCCTATTGTTTTAGCCTTAATAATGCTTAAAGCCTGTTCTTTGCACTCTGTATCCTTTTATCCAAGCTGCTGTGGCAGCATTTTCCAGAGCCTTCATGGCAGCATTGCTCCTTTTATTGTTCTCATGCTGTTGTACTCATTGCCTTGCACCTGCAAACCTTGAGAATGTTATGACAAGTTCTCCTGGAAAGCAACTATCACTGGCCTGAGAATCATCCCCCTCCCCGCCTTTTTCTTCATTGAAAGATAATTCATTTAAATACTTGATAAAAATACTCTAATAATACAGGTGCACAAAATTTTAACAGCCAACGTGCAACATCTGCACTAGTGTTGCCCACTTCAGTCATTGCTAACAGGGCCATGAATGGGAATAACCAACGAGCAGGTCTTGATGAAAAGTACATAGTACTAGGTGAAAAGCATGGCGAAAAGTCATCTTCATCATCACCACGTGCTGCACTAGAGAGACAACTGCTGTCCCTCTGTCTGCTTTTTGAACAGCAGGAACTCAGGAAATACATACTCAACATTGCACTGGGAAGGTATTTAGTCCTCAGACCAAAGTGAACACTGTAGTAATTTTAAATGTGGCATCAAGATACTGGCTCTTGGTCTGGCAAAATGGCAAGAGAAGGTGGGGAGGGAGGGAAGTGACCTAGAAGATGAGGTCAGGCAGCGAGAGCCCAAAAGTCAAGAAGACTGAGTGCACCTCCCCAACAGTATAGACAAACACACCCATGCAACAATTTCATCATACGATAAAGTCTCTTCGCAGGCAAAAATGTGTAAGACTAAAGTACTGAACAACACGACAGTTCACACTACGATGGCATTGCTTTCAGCATAACAATTGGCATTACTAAAACACAAATTACTATTTCAAGTTGAGTTTTGAAATCTAAAAAAATATGCTTTACTGAAATACTGTAAGTCTTGGTGCTTCTTTAGTCAGTGAGGCTATATTCCTTTTTCTAAGTGAAAGCTGACAGAAGGGAAAGTCAATTCAAAATATCTTTTCTTTTGATGGAATGAGAAATTCTCTCTTCAGGAATAAGGCCCTGTGTGGAACAGGGTGAATGGAATCAAAGCAATGCCATGCCAGAGACCCATTTCAGTGTGCTCTTCACACAAGAATTCAGTTAAACCTACGCCAGGAAAGGCATCTCTCTACTCACAATTGTCCTGCTCTTACTTCATTGCAAAAATCTCTGTCCTTTCAAGCAGCTTAAAGGTAAAAATCAAAGAATAGACAATTGTTGCTGGAAAGAACAAACTCGCCCATGAAGCAGTCTGTAGATTGGGTTTCCCACAGTACAACATAGCCTACAGATTCCCTCCTCTTCACCTACAGGTAGGCCCTTGCTTTAGCACCTATTTACCATCATGTTTTTAATGAAGACTGGTTATTACTGTTCCAAGAGCAGAAGAAAGGTAACACTCCATTCTTCCTGCATGATTACAGCTATTTTTTTTCCCCTCTGTATTGCGTAGCAGGACATAAGGTCCCATGACTTCAGTTACACACATTGTATCTACTATACCAGAAAGAATTACGCAAGCTAATACAAGGATTCAGCATTTGGTCTACCTCTGCCCTTCTTATTCTCAAAGGGCATAAATTTCAAGTTCACAATAGCTAATTTTCTACAATAGCTTTTAATTAAACACACATTTGTAAAGTAAATAGTAATATTTTATCCAAGAAAAAAAAAAAAGTAGTTTTGATGTTGCCTACATCTAACACTTACAACTTAGTAAGGTAGAATTAGGTCTTTACACAACAAGAACTAACCCAGTAAACTGATTTTACACATGCAAGAAGCCCACCTGAATAAAAAGGGTCTGAGGTTTGCATGGATACTCTTTCATGCCTCCGGCCCCCTACTTTGAAATTTCTATTAACTTTCACATGAATAAGAACACAAAAATTGCAAGCTCAAATTCTTTAAAATAGTTTTTCCTGTTACATATTCTTTCTTCCACTGTGTGGCTCTAAGTTTTCATTCTGCAATGGCTCCAGAAAATTCCTAACACTCAAAATGCAGCAACTCAGAAACACAGGTGTTGCTTCAAACTCAAACTAACAATCATGAGTGTGACAGTCTGATCCATTCAAACATGAATCTGCTTTTCACCATTTACAGTTTATCACATATAAATATTTTTACATACATTTATATGTTTAAAGGTCTCATTTCACATGAGACTGTTCTGCTGAAAATTAAGTTAATCATTATTTATTAGATCAGCATAATTGATTAAAACAAATTTCTCAGAAATGGTATTAATAAAAAAAAAAAATCAGTCTCTCTCCTCAAGAAAATGCTATCAATGCCTTGGTATTTTGGCTAGTTCTACTATATAAGCCAGGATTTGTAATAAGAAGAATAAAATAAAATGGTTTATTAAATCCTGAACAATCTGGAAAAATCCTTATTGTGGGAAAAAAGTATGCTATTAGCATGTTTACATTTCTACATAGCTTGAAAATATGTTGCAAACATGCAACAGATGGTCTGACGTTATTTGACGTGTGTTAGTTTTTTTAAACAATCTGCAGCCCCATCCTCTCTAAAAAAGACAGCTTAGCTGGGATTTGCCTGCAATTTATCAGTGAATTTAGATTGCATTTGCCACAGTCGTAACAGCAGCTGCTTTGGCCCACCACCAGGCCTCGGTCACTTCCGAAACCATTATGTAAGCCCTACACCTAGCGGTATTAAAACATAAGTGTCATACTTCAAATGGTAGGAATATTTTAGTCAGATTTACTTAAGAGGTTATAAAAACCAGGAAGATATCCTTAATTAATATTTAAAAGCTACAAATTATCACTAAAACATTTTCTGCCTCTGGCTTAGAAGTCTATTGCAAAAACCTGTGATATATTATGCAGACGCTAAATTGTCGTACTTCAGACCCCATAGTATTTTAATGAACTGTTAACCCATACATTAAAGGAACTACTGGGAACAAGAATTGCTAAAAGAACATTATTTATTTGTTTTTAAGGAAGTGAAAGCAAAGAGATTGCTATTTCTAAAAGTGATTCAGCATACAATTTGCTAAAGTTTACACACAGATTTTATATAAAAGTATGCAGAAGTTCTAGAAGAAATGTACGAACTACATACTCTTCATGAAGCCTCCGATCAGCTTAATAGTACCAATTTCATGTTCAGACTATGCCTATACTTGCACTGATAAAGCTCAAAGACAGACCATACCGTTGCACTTGTTGGATCCTGGAATGCTCTAGCTGCACCATCCTGCTGAGGCTCACGTGAAGCGGCAGAGTGGTTCAGTCCTGATGTGTTTGAGGGTCCAGCATCAGGCTTCCTGGATGAATTGACTTCTGCCTACAAGGAGTACATATGTATGCTTCAGAGACAAGATCAAAACTGCTCCAAAAAGACTTGGCTTATTTTGGAATGTGTATTTTAATGTACGGAGAATGAGACTTACTGAAATGTAATAATCAAACACGCCAACTGCATTTCAATTACACACCAACAGCTTTAAGAAATTCTCATTCTTTAGAAGCGAAACTGTAGATGTGCAAACATAAGTTTAAAAAACAATTTTAAGTTTGTTTGCACAGAACAACAGGTATAACATTCAAAAAACACAGAGATGTATAGACCAAAAAAGAAAATTCTTTGGAAGATCCAGGACAACATTATGCAAGAAAATTCTTTAGAAGATCCAGGACAACATTATGCCGGAAATAACACCATGTTTTAAAACTTGTGTTTCTCATGTCCTTAAGTGAATGCTGACTACTGTCGTTACAAGTGAACTAATACAGCCTGTTTCTCAGCAGAGCTAACTAGCCTCCGGTAAATGCTAATTTAATGTTGCTATACTGGTTCTAACACCAAAGTGGCCTCACAGCCAGAGTGGGCATATATGCATGGCACTACACTGTGTCAGGCATGCATACTTCAGTTGCCAGTATTTAAATTTCAGCACAAGCAGAGCAAAAGAAAAAATACAGGTCTTATAATACTGCTTTTGTATGCATTTATAAAACATCTAATAATCCGTAATTCCCAGAATTTAGGTTTCATGCTTTTGGAAATTTGAGACAAGAAATCAGTAGTGACACAAAGATGATCATGAACAAACCTCTTGTTAAGACAGGATATATGCCTGCAATAATCCCTTGGGAATGGAAAAGGACATAGCATCATAGTCCTGAACTGAAACACTTTAAAACTTATACATACTAAAAGAAAAAGTCATGACCAGATCAATTTTTATCAGCAAGCAAGTCACCTCCCAAGTCATGTATCCAGATCTCAATTTATTATACAGATGACAATTCCAAATCTAATACCTGTCTTCAAATGCAGATATAAGTAGTGGTAGCAGTAGTAAGAAACACAGTGTATTAGAAACCAACCAGTTATGGCGATAACAAGCTGATAAGGTCACAAGATAATAATATTCTTTCATGATACTACTTTGTGTAAGGAGATTAACTTCCCTGCTTCTTGACGTATACTATCTCAGAAGAATCCAAAAAATATGTCACTGAAACAACCTGAAGATGAATTTAAGATTTAAAAACACTTATAATCTGACAACACTGCTTTCCTTTTGTACTTGACTATTATAAACTTTAATATTAGATAGGACAAGTTATGACTCAAATATGGACCAGCAACAAAGCAACACAGGATTATGAATAATTTAGGCTGGAAGAGACCTCTAGATGTCAGCCAGTCCAACTCCCTCCTCAAAGTACAGTCACATTCAGTCAAGTTTTGAGCATTTCCAAAGCTGGAGATTCCACAGCCTCTCTGGCTCCAGCATTTGACTACTTGCAGGGTGAATTTTCCTTTCCCATATCCAGTTGTAAGTTCCTTCCCTGGAACCTGTGACCACTGCTTTTCATACTTGTGCTTTTTCCAAGAAGAGCTCATTTCATCTTTACTGTTAATCTCTATAAAGCACATACACTACAAAATGTACATTTGATTTGTTTTATTTTATCTAAGTACCAAGTCTGGTAAGCTAGACTGAAGTCATGCTAACATTCAAAAAAAATAAAGCACTTGGAAGTTCCCAAAACTGAAGTATCTTCTTTATCACCTAGTCTCTCTTTTCTCCAGCCCTTACCTCTGCTTCCAGAAAAGCTGGAGAGAACACAGACATCAAGGAAAAGAATATCAACATATTTAAACGTAATAATGAGGGCGAGTGGACAATTAATTTTACTGCAAAATATGCCTTGTGATGGCAACATGTAGATAAATCATATTGTTTTACAGTAACACGTATGCTATTAGTCATCTATCTTTTTTTTTCTTTTAAGTAGAATGGAATTTATGGTATATAGCACCTAAAATGCACAAAACAATTCATAAGTCAATGTAAAGCTGATAAAAAAAATAATTTTCTATTAAAACACACAGGAACAAAGGTGGAGGAATAAAGAAATGTGGTTTGTTATTTTTTCTACTGAATTTCATATTCCTTTCTCAATACCACACATGGAGTTTTTTTTAAAAGTTACCATTTTGTTTAAGGCTGGTATGAAATAATTTCTCATAATCCCAGGATCATCTAAAAAAAAGTTAAGAAATCTCTCTTTAAGGATCAAGATAATGCAAAGATTGCTAGGATGCTTGCTAGTAGAGAGGCGCTCTCAAATTATATGCTCAATCAGCAATCTGATGTTAAATCTTACCCCACAAATGGACATGGAATATATCCAAATTATTAAAAACTTTTGTATTCCCTGTTAGTACTTCATACTATTAGTTTACTAAAACCACTTCAATTGAATGTCTTAGCCTAACATCAATCAAACAAACACTTAACAAAGTCAAGCAAAGCAGAGAAGCAGGAAGCTTAAAAAAAAAAAAAAATCCCCAAAATTTGATTTGAGAAAGGGAGGGAAGGCACAACCAGAGGACAGAACTGATTTACCTTGTAAAAACCCCACAATGGATTGTAAAAGGCTGTAGAAAACTGAAGCTTTTGTTCATTTTTCCCTTGCTGAGTGCTTGTTCTTAGAAGGTGGAGTTAAGTATGTGGATACATAGAACGCACCAATATTCTTTAGTGAATGATGACCCTAAGTCTTTCATTTTAAAACTGATAAAAGGTATGAAATGTAAGTTGAGTTCTTTCTAAAAAAAAAAAAAATATATATATATACACACTCTGCTATTTCTAGAGTTTCTGTGATGAAGATTAGCAGAAGATTAAGTAAAAGTTACTCCTACACTTTTTAACCCTTATATATTACAAAAAAGCCAGGAGCAGGCAGTCCATTGCTTCTCCGAGTAGCTAAGCTTTAAAACACTGTCCCTGTATCTCCTCATCTTTGTAAAATATTTTGAGATGTTTTTAATTATAAATGTTATTACACACAGTCCCAACCATGTCAACATGTCTAGATGTGAGATCACACAGGAATGCACAGGTCCTGCAAAACTGGCAGTAATGCTCGGTAGGAGGCAATCTTTACTGTCATGGCACATGCACACAAGTAGTCTTTATGACAGTGTTAGGAGAACACTGGTGATAAAAGGGGACATATTAGCATCGCTGACCTTAGTGAGGATGTATTCTGCACCAATGCCACATTGTCAGGATATATTTCACTGCAGTTCCCTGCCCTCATGCACAGCAGTCTCCCTTAGTGGCCGATTTAAGAGTTTAGTGGAAAACCCAGTGAAAAACAACACTGCGCATGCAAGACATGCAATTTTCTAAGGCAGGTATTTGGCTACACAAACCTTACTTTCACTGAAACACAAGCTAGAGAACACATTTTTGGGTAACAGCAACATCCGTACCAGACTTCAATTTTCAGTATCTTTAGCTGCAAAGTAGTTTAAAAGAATTTGCAACCATTTTTCAGTAGGAATGTGTTTTATTCCTTCCATAAGCCAAAGCCATAAGCCAAGGCAGGGGAGGACGGAATCACAAAGGAAAAAAAAAAATTAGGTTAGCTTTGCCCAAACTTTCCTAACACTTTTATGATAAGACTAAATCTGGAAAATCTAATCAAGTTATTAGTGACTGAAAACATGGAAGTAAAAGCAACATAGTTAGGCAGCTCTTACCACAGTGCTCACCATTGAAATTAAAACTAATTAATCACTGCTTGAGATGCACAGTTTACTAACTGGCACATTGACAGAGATCCACTCCTATTTTTCTCTTTCAGGCTGTCCTAAAAAAACAGGTTTCCATATAGTGATTGATGAAGGGTTATGAAATGATGAATATTTCTGCAATTTACAAGCTTTTCTTCAATATTTTTTTTTAATTCTATACAACAAAGATAAAAGTTTAAGCAGTGACTTCACCTTGAAGCTAATTTGTCTGGCAAGTTCTTTAGCCTCCTGGGCCGCCTGGCTTGACACGCTTCCAGACGTTAGTGGTAAGAGGGCTGTCTTCATAGATGTGCCACACATCTCACAACAGAAGTCTTGTGACCTGGCCACAAATGACATAGTTCAGAATAGCATGTTCTCATAATGTTCTTGCGTGCTTGTTTAAACAAACTATTTGAAAAACAATCCACAGAAAGAGAAGTGGTATCAAGACCAGTAGCTTAAAAGTACTTCCCCCTGCCCCAAATCACACTATCTTGAAACAAATATGTTGAGAGTTATCTATACTACAAACACATATTCTCTCATGTCATTTAGGAAGATATTAACAACTGACTTACATATTGCTATTATCTATAATTTATTAATAATTTGTTACCATTTAAAAACTTTATATCTGCAGCAAATTAAAATTGTAAATTATAGACATCTATTATTACAAATATTAAATTGGACCCAGGAGCTTGCACCTCAAATCCAGGAATTTCAGCTTCTGTGAGAGCATTACCTTTCCTCTTCTGCACACATAATTTGGCTATCGGGCACACCGCAGGCAGCTCTCCAAGCCAATGAGAAACCACACAGCCTTGATAGTACAATATCAAGACCAATCCACTAAGCCCTACCTCTCAGCAGTGTTTATTAGCTTTGACTCAGTGCCACACTAACAGGAAAGTTGCAGCTTCTGACTGGCTCAGAGTACAGGCAGAATAAGCTCACCTCTGCCTGCAAAATAAGGTACTATTACAATCTGGAATATGGTAACTTTGCTTATAAGATAGGGATATGGTCTTTCAAGTACCTTCTCCTCCCCAGATGGGGAAAGGAGAAAGACCAAAAAAACCCTACAGGTAATAAGATTTCATTTAAGGATAATCACAGAAAAGTTGAGGTTGGGAGAGACCTCTGGAGATCATCTCTCTGCCCCATCATCCAGGCCATTAATAACACTGAATAGCACTAGCCCCAGTATTGACCCCTGGAGTACACCAGTAGCAACCGGCCCACAGTTGGACTTTGTGCTGCTTACCACAATCCTTTGAGCCTGGCAGGTCTGCCAGTCCTTAATCTACCTTACTGTCCCCACTTACCTAGGCTGTATTTCATGAATTTCTCTGTGAGGATGGTAAGGAAGACAGCGCCAGAAGCCTTGCTAAAGTCAAGATAAACAACATCCACTGCTTTCCCCATGTCCACTAAGCTTATAATTTCATCATAGTCACAAATCTGATTTTAAGTTAATTTCCTAAAAATCATTCAGAAGCAGTTGCTTCAGATTTTTTTTCATTGTTTCATTATTATTATTTACTTAAGGGAAATGATGCATCATTATTTTGATTGTTTTCTCCCACACTTACACCTACTATCAATTCCATCATACTCATTTTCCTTCCACGCTGCAATTGCCACTGTATCACAATGTTAATTACATCTCCAAGCGTCAATTTCAGACGAACCTCTAATTTGACCACACAATGCTGGAAGGAACACAGCCCTTGCAAACTATTTTGTTTGACCGTAAGTTCCGAGTCTGCACAATGTTCAGGAAAAAAAAAAAAAAAAAAAAGGATATATATAAGGCATAGAACTTTCTTTATATTTGGAATAAATGCAAGAGAACAGACTGAAGTGACTTTGTACTAAATGCCTTACCCTAAAAGAGAGTACATATATATGTACCCACAGTAACTTAGTGCTTACTTCTTTGCAAGAGCTCTTCTTTCTTCTGGTGTATAATCTAGAGATCCTATTGCTCCTTCACCTTTGGTTGGCATAAATCCAATAATGGCTAGTAAAGCTGTTCTTACTGAAACGGGAAAACAGAGATACAAACAAGGTTGCAGAAACCACTGTTATTTCATCTCACTTTACACTCAGTATAGAAAAGTTGCAGTTCTGCCTGCAAAACTTCATTTTGTTCAAAGGAGCAGTCTGAATTTCATACAAGCAGCACCGCTGTTCTTGGTACATAGCAAGGCTTTCTTCATTTTTTAAACTTCACATTATAAATGAAAGGTAAGGCCTTATTCTCCCATCAGCCAACACAGAAAAGAAAAGTTGTCACAAAAATGTTGCATCAATATAAAGATTAGAGTTCCAGACTTTAAAAATGGGTTTGGAAGAAGAAAAGGTAAGGCAGAATTAACATATAAGGGGGGGAGAAGAGGAGAATTCATAAGGCATTCTTCTTTTTGTGTGTGTTTTCTATTAGACACGAATTCTGCAAATTAGTGCACACAAGCTCAGTGGTTTTCTTTTATGCAAAGTACCACAGAATTTGTTCCTTTTATGTCATCATGCTGGGGAAGAAGCTTACTTAAATACTAATAACAGCTCATAACAGAATTGTTATCTAAAACATCTCTTTTGACAATATCTATCATTCAATTTTGTTTTACATAGTTGTGAAATTTAAGAATTCAAGACACTTTACTAGCAGATTTGGTAAATATCACATGAAGATAACTACCACAAAACAGAGACAGGATATTTACACCTCATACTTAGAAGACAGTATTTTCTACTCTTTAAAAAAACATGATAGACTACAAAAGTTGAAGAGTGGTCTGCTAGAAAATTCCCAAGATCTTATCAACATATTTTAAAAGTGCAACTGATATCCAAAGAAATAATTTATGTATTGTACTCAGCAAAACTAAAATTACATAAACACAGAAATATCGCCTTGGATGAACTGTGCCAACTCTCAATTTCTGTGATAATGAAAGTTAAAGAAAAGGTAGAAAACATTTAGTTTTTCTAAACTCAGACCACGTTGTCTTCCCTCTTGAGTGTTCAGAAGTACAGCATCAGAATTAAAACCTGACCACACTCCCCTCTATCATTATTCAAGCTGGTTTTAGTGATTATAAAAAAATGGGGTAAAGTAATAGGATTTAAAGTATTTTCATAAGAACAATTTAAAAAAAAAACAAACCAAACAACAAAACCAAACAACATTCTAAGTAGTCTGATCATTCTTAATGCTTGTGCATCCAAATAAATAAGAGCTTACCACCACCCCTCAGTTTCTCAACCCTTCCACCCTGCATTTATTTAATACCATTCCCAAATCCTCCTATGTTACTCTTTCATGACTTTACATTTCTCAAATTCTCCCATACTTTTAGTCCCTCAAAATCTGTCTCCTTTTCCACTATAAACATTCTTTGTGAGATTTTTTTTTTTCAGTTTAAAGATCTAGTTGCTTGATGGGGGTAACATTTTCCAAATAATTGTTACTTACTACTCCATGAAGGCTGCCATGTTTCAGGATGATGCCCTGAGATGCTTAAACAAATTTTCTTCCCCACTTCAAACCTGCCATTGGCCTTCAAAGGAAGAAGGAGGATATAATAAAACATGCTGGAAGTTAACCTTTTTTTTTTTTTTTTGGTACAAGTTGTAAAAATCATCAAACAAACATATATGCAAATGATACTTGATAATTATATTACTGCCAACCTCACAAAATTGGCATTCAGCTTTCTGAAGAAGCCTGACATCTGCCTTTATTCATGCATGAAGACTGATCACAGTGTGGCATGGTGGCTTGCCTGTTGCTCCTGTAACCCACACACCACATGCAGAGAATCTGAAAAGCTATAGCTCTACAAAACTATGCAAAAATGTGGGCCTTTGCCCAAATCATAGGTCTGCCTTCCTACACGTGACCAACATCTCCAACAGAGACCAAGAGGGCCCATGGAGAGAACAGAAGGTTAGACAATCACATCAGCAGTGTGATTACTCCTAGAGAAAACTTCCATTTATTAGGTGCAAAGCTTCATGTAATTACAGAATACCAAAGTGACCTTGGAAGATTTCTAGTCTTAAATTGGCAGCATTAACTGTACTATGCCACCTTTCTTACAAAAATAACATTACATTAAATGCCAAGAATTTCTTTCTCAGACACTTAGGGTTAAATTGATCGCGTAAAAAGGAAAAACTAGTAAACTTGCTTACCGTCAGCAAAATAATGCTGGGTGGTTTCATGGGATATTCAGGTGGTAGTACTATTCGCCCGTGATAAATCCCTCCATCGAAATCTGAATCTGGAGGGCCTCTAACAGTAAAGTGCCACTCAAAAAGATTATCCTAAAATGCCCCCACCAAAGAGAGAAGGAAAAAAAAAAAGAAAGAAGAGTGTGTCAGAGTAGACAACTAAACACCATTTTCTTTAACAAGGACAGGCTAAAGAAATAGCGCACAGAAGTTTTAAGAAGTCAACCAACAGAGTACTAAGATTCTGGTTAAAAGGATAAAATATTGTAGCTTTCTGGAAATTTTCTTACACAATAGCTTTGTTGAAACCCTCAAATTCATTATTGAAGCTCTTCACTCTAGTTGTATCAATTATGACAAGAGTTTTATTACCTAGCAAATGGAAAACTGAGTCAGCTAAGGGAAAACTGGGTCTTTGCCCCATGAATAATAATTTCTGGAGAACCAAGGGGAGACCCACCCCAAGAAAGAACATTAATGACAGCCTCTGCAAAGCCCCTTCCATGCCCAAGTCAACACAGGGACTTGACTCACACTCCAGAGAATTCCTATCCTCTTTTTCTTCCCCATAAACAATTTTGAAGCAGCTACTGTGCCTTACTGCACAACAGGTACACTTTGAAATTTGGAATATTATTTTCATTGGACATACAAATAACTTCTCTTTAAGCACCAATTCTTTGGGGTTCTCTGTTTGGCTTTGTGTATCAGATCTCATGATGCCCACAACTTCCAGAATATTTACAAGCAGAACAACTCCTACTGTTGGGACAGGAGTCCAAATGAGACTTGCTGTCAGCGAACGAGATCTCTCAACTAATGCTGAACACTGGTATCACAGGGCTGTGACTGCCCACCTAGTTACAATTTTTTCAAGGATGGGAGGTAACTGTCAACGTTTCCAGCATTCCCTTTCACCTGCCACTGTTCTCTTCCCACCAAGTCACTGTTCTAACCCAGAAATAAGACCTTCATCTAAGTTACAAGTAATAGTATGAATTAAATCTTACATTTCACCACAGGAAGGGGAAACACAAGGTACAGAAGACAAAAACTAGTCAATAGTAAAGTATATTTTATAGCACCTAGGAACATGCTATTTTCTGTAAGCATGTTAAGTGGGCTACGCATTTCTGTGAACAGCTAAATCAAATCCCCAAACTGAATACCACAGAACACTGCCTTTTTTATTATTCCAGTGAAATCAGAAGGGGTTTCTGTTTAAGCTTCTAACCACCAGAACTTCACTGTCCTCTCAGCCCAAAAACTTAACTGGGTGTTTAGACAGCTTCAAGAAGCTACTATTTAAGTGGAATCTAAGCATTCTCTCTTACCAGCATCCAGAACTGCATACATTTACGTTTTTCACAGGTTTTTTTGTATGCAAAATAGTGAATCCTCATAGATCACCTAGGCTTAAGTGTTTTGTTGAGCAACTCAGCAACTGAGCCAGATGTCAGGTTTGGGTGTAAAAAGCTTAACTTCAACATAATGCATTTATGTAGTCTCGGGAGGGGGGAATAAAACATATTATACCTGTGTGACAAAATTAGTCAGGTGCAACGTAAAACCAATATTAGGTACTTTCACTAACAACCTGGAACTACAATACCATTAAAGTGGAATTCTGCTGTTGATTTCCATCATAGAAAAAAAAAGAACTTAATAAATTTTAAAAGGTCTGCTAGTATCTAAATACGTACATTTAAAATATATATGCATACAGAGAACTTAGAGTATATAACACAGCCTAATTACAAACTCTTGCAAACACAGAGAAAAACAAACCTCCAAAGGCTGTGCATGATAATGATCTGTAGGATCCTTCAGTTCTGCAGCCTCTTTCATCAAACGTTTGACAGCTGAAAGTGTAACACATGAAAATAAAGAAAAAAGTTAATATGCATTGCCCACAAAAATAACAAACATTTCTTGAAGAGCTCCTTTCAGCTAACTAATCTTTTTCAGCGCATCCCAGCTTCTTCACTGGAGTTAATAATCCAAGACACAATATAAATTACTCACGCTGAATAAATCTTAAATGAGTTATACAAGTACAAAGTTATGAAAAATATGTTGCATGGTCACAGAGTTTCTCAACACTGAACACTGGGACTAAAGTAGTTTTACGTTATTAATTGCATCAAAGACATGAGGGAAAACATAGGTGTCATTAAGGGAATTTCAGACTTCAAATGCAAGATGTGAAATAACCTCAATATTTTATCATAAAGAATATCATGTGCATCTTTAAATAACTGCTGAAAAAGGTTTATCCTGATACCTCCCATGACTATTACATGACTACTCCCTTAGTTATTCCAAAGGAGGTCACAATAACATTTGAGAGAAAACAACACACCGGTAGTATGAGGAGATGAAGTTTTACACTAGATTTAAAAACTTACATGCCCACCCAGAAAAATCTACCCAGGGCCTTTGTAATTTGAACCTACTACTGAGTATTCAGGATAGTCATTAGTTACCCTCTCCAGTCTTCTACTTCAGAACCACCAGCATCATCTGTATTTTCTGCATCTCCTTCTTCCTTCCCCTTTAGTAAATTGTATTACATCACTTGTCCTGCCAGGTGCCCTCATGTGCATCATGCATTGATGCCTAATACAGAACTCGGACAAACTGAAGAGCAGACTAAAAATAAGAACTACAGCCAAGAAATTCAAGGACGCCACCTCATGAATAAGGTTAGGTAGAAAGTTCTTACTCCCTCCTACTTACTGGAAAAAGTGCAAATACCAGTTACCTCTTTAAACAACTACATAGCAACAGGATCCTTTAAATCCATCCTCCACATCCAGTTCAAATCATGGATGTCCCTCCCACTCATGTAATTATCTAACTACAAAGAAGGAGAAACACTGCCCAAATTCCCTTACAGTGTAAGCACATGATATGGTGAAAGCGAACCGTAGTTCCTCGATTTACGCAGCCTGGCATCACCAGCTGACTGTAGGCTGTGTAGCACACTTGGACTCCAAGGCTTTACTCACTTTCACGATGCTGTGAGGGAGCTACTCTAACCTTCCCGCAGAGGGATTTTGATTTCCATCTACTGTGAAAAGTTCTCTTCCTCCTTCGCACTTCTTGACAGCTACAAACAACAGCTCAAAGATGGAGAATTTCACTTCTTACAACCCAAAAAGCAAACAGACCATGCGGAAATTTGCTGCTGCCAGTTGTCCCAATTCTGCTGCTGCCAGGGGGAGGTGTCAGTTAAGCACCCTGCAGAGTCACATCACAGGCAGCAGTGTCCGGGCTTCACTGAAAAACAGTTTGTCTCTGTCATCTGCATTCAGGTTTACCAGTTCATTAGCAAGGAATAATAAGAAAACCAGCCTGGACCAGAAAAGGCTTCAGACCCAGCACTGCTTCACAGCCAACAAGCCTGGACATTTACTCTTCAGAAGAAGAGTGGCATGCACCAGGATGAGCCAATTTGGGAGTGAACACCCCAAGAAGCAAAAGGGTAACCATGAGAAAACTGAGAACGTATATAATGAAGCCTAACAAACACAGAATAGTCGCAGACAACTCTGTTACCGAGATTTCCCAGACGAGGGACCGAGACAGAGAAGTAATACAGTCCCCCTCTATCAGCATCACATGCATTACCCATGTTAACTGAGGGGAAGCTAACTATTAGAGAAAAAAAAAAAAATTCAAGACCATTCTACAAAAGTCTACCGACACCCAGAGAAAGGTTTGTACTCAGCCTACCAGCCTAAAACTGGGTGCAGGATCTTTGGCAGTGCACATCGGCACTTTGGATTTGTCCCAAAAGGAACAGCCTTTTTACCGCTTTAGCTCCAAAGCTGTCCCCTGGGCGCTGAGTGCCAGCAGCTGGCAGGCAGAAACACAGAAACCAAGGGTTTGCACTGAGAAGTAACCGAGACAGCAGCCAGGTGGGGACAACAAGCAGGTGAGCTCCTGTTAAGTAGAATTTAAAACAGGAGCAGTTTAAAGCATGTTTAACATTTTTGTATTTAATTAACAGTGACACTGTGTCTTTTTTCATAGCATTACTTTATTATCAAGAAGCCAGCATAAAATATGCTGAAAGAATATGCAATATTATTCCACTCTTGGAGCATGAAATACAGCAAAATATATAATTTAGCTTTGTATACCATAGAGATAATTTGTTTATAAGTTTTCAGTATTAAGCAACCTAGGATATCTTAAGAAAACGAAGCACACGTATATGCAGAAAGGTTGAGAAAAAGAAGCACATATATATGAAAAAAAGCTGAGAGAGTTGGGGTTGTTCAGCCTGGAGAAGGGAAGGCTCTGGGGAGACCTTAGTGAGGCCTTTCAACGCTTACAAGGGACTTAAAAGACAGACAGACTTTTTACCACAGCCTGTAGTACCAGGACAAGGGGGCAATGGTTTTAAACTGAAAGAGGGTAGGTTTAGACTAGATATTAGGAAGAAATTCTTTACTATGAGGGTGGTGAGACACCGGAACAGGTTGCCCAGAGAAGTTGTGGATGGCCCATCCCTGGAAGCGTTCAAGGTCAGGTTGGACAGGGCTTTGAGCAACCTGGTCTAGTGGAAGGTGTCCCTGCCCATGGCATGGATCTTTGAAGGTCCCTCCCCACCCAAACCATTGTGTGGTTCTATATCCACATTGCTGAAAAATGCCAACAGACAGGCTGCAAAGAACAGCCTGGACTGATAAAGGTTCATTCTGAGAACGTGTGATCCAGTGAAGAAAGCATTAAATTGTTTCTTCTTTAAGCATAGCTGCAGTATTCATGAACACAGTCCCTCCTTTGGCTATGGAAAACTGCAGTGGAAGAAACTAATGTAATTCACAAATTCTGCCTGCAACAAGTACATGACATTCTTACCCAAACTTCATTAAAAGGAGTTTTGATGCAAAATATGGTATTTCAACCCACTTAAAATCACACTGAGTCATCTGAGTAAACGTTTGGCAATGGCAATTCTGAAAAATGAGAACGGTTTGGGCCCATTCAAATTAAAGAATTGCAAACTGTCAGTAAAGTCAAAAAGTATCACTAATTCAGCCAAAAAAAAAAAAATCAAATCAAGACATTCAATTTGTCAAGGACAGGTTTTAGAGACAAAACAATCAAGGTATTTTTTAATGTGGCATGACTGTCAGCACGAAAAATAACCATGCTTTCACAGGTACACTCGGCAACAATTTATCATAATGTTCATTGAAATTAAATACTGAGGAAATTAAGTTTCTGAGCTAACTCCAGAGAGGCAAAGGAGAGTTCTCGCCCTGGCAGGAGGCACAGGAGCTCTCCACTACTCTGGGGAGGAAAGGAAGGAGCAGGTGCTATGGGCCAGAGGCTCGGCCTGACAATCTGCCTCTTTGTAATTTGTAATTACACCGAACTTGCTGAATTTTTCCTGAAAAGCAAAACGTGGAGGTTAAAAATCTGAGAATCAAATTTAAAGCCACCAGCTTGCTTTAGGATTGAGCAGTGGTGGAATAACATAATTAATGAGCAAAATTTGTATAATCTATGCGTGTATGATCTGTAGATTTATTTCTGTCAAAAACTGTGTCCTGGTCAAATCCTATTTCTTATTAATGTTTACCTTAAGGTATCCTGAAATTTCTATTCAACACAACTGGTTCTCTTGGATATATCTTGAAGTCCCATTCAAGTACCCCTGCTATCACACCCAACTAGACTAGTCTGCACGTCACGGCCCAGGACACCCTTCTCTACACACAAAATGCAAGTGATCAGTCTTCATAAATGTCAATATTACTGCTTAAAGAGATGATGGGATTCGAACATTGGTGGTGTTCTCTTAGTAAAATATTATGCCTTATTTTTTAAAAATATGTTATTGTGAAAATAAAGTCTTAAAGAAATTATATTTAGCCTTTTGAGAGCTTTGTTTTGTTAGTAGTCTTCTGTATTTAATAAGGAAGAATTTTAATTCACTTTTACATTATCAGTGAACAGTACCTGCGGCAATCAAATGAGCTAACCAAGGTTATATTAATGTAAACATAGCACACAACACTGCAACAGGATTTATTTCAGCATAACAAAGTTGCATACCTTTTGCTCACTGGAAGTTCAGAAAATCTGATAGAAGTTCCAACTCCCTCCAACACTCAAAACCCCCAAAACCATTCCTGAAGATCCACTACAACTTGTCTACAAAAGGCAACAGTACTCAGGTACAAGAGCTCAAGAGGCGAAACAGACCCTAGCGAGGGGAGTAGCAGAGGTGAGGTGGGTGACGTTGCAATCAAACCCAAGTTAGGAAGCATGGGGACGGTGAGGTCTCAGTTCAGCAAGGCTCAGCCCCTAGTACTTCATCACACGAAGAGACAGCGTTTTGTGCACACAAAGATGACTGCAGGATCATCAATGGAACAAATTCATATTTAAGTGATATGGGTTGTGCATGGCAGTATCTTCCTTAAATGGATAGCAACCATTTCATTCTACCAATTTTCAGTGCTTCTGTTTGAAAAAGAAAGGACACAATAAACAAATAAAGGAACTCAAAACTGCTGGCACAAAGCTAGAGATCTCCTAATCTTTCAAGTTGACTTATCTGATCTGGAAAAAAAGGAATAAAACAACCTGACAGCTTTTACTGCTTCAGCAAATGCTTTCTACTTTTTTTTTTTTTTAATGGCTGCTATTATTTATTTTTTCTTTATTTTAAATAAGATTTAGAGGTCTACTCAGGAGAAATACAGAAGTAGTAATGATTTTTTCCCATGTCTCTGCTAACCAAGACAGCATAAGTAAGGATGCAATTTACCTATCTAATCCAGGCTTTCCAATGAATTACTAAAACTCTTATAAAGTTTCTCTGGGATGAAGGGT